GTTTTTTTTTAGTAAAATAATACTTTATTTATTATTAAATTAAAATATAATAGAATAATTAAAATAGTATAAAAAGTTAATTTAGATTATTATTAATTTTATATTGGTGTGCCAATCTTTTTGCACCAGACCATATGTTAGATTATCGATAGCTAAATAATTCATTGGTATGAGTGAGTATTCGATAAAATAATATATAACTCAATTGTCGGTGTAGATCAAGAAATGACAAACAAAAGTTTGAAATTGGAAAATGAATATTTTTTTCATATAACTGGGACTATCTATATAAATCACATCTTTATATAGTCACAGTTTTTCGTATCCCGATTAAAATTAAGAAATTTTTGCTACACACCGATCTTGAGATCTGATTTTAGGGGGTCAGGTCGATAAATCACATGATACGCAAAAAGTAGATCCTTTAATTCTTTTGTGGAAACTGAAATTAACATTTATTTATATTTTTGGATAAATACTAAAGAAATACGCAGTATATTCGTTTTTTTATAACCTCATATTTTGTAGCAATATAATATGTGAATTTATAATATCTATTTTTATTACCATACATACAAAAAACAAAAAAAATGATACTATTGATTTTGAGGACGCAAAGCATGTACTGCATCCGCAAAATTAAGCTTTTTAGGTGCAACGGCAACGGGCTCACTGTCTGAGGATTCGATGGATTCGGAAGATTCGGGAGATTCCTCGATGTTTTCGGGATGTTCGGAATGCTTAGAATTTCTTCTGACTTTTCGAAGTGCACCGAATACTTTAAGTTGATTTCGTACATCATGAATTGCCGCATCCCATCGCATCTCGGAATGTGTAACGAGCGGTTTACGTTCTTCATTGAGAATTCGATCGGGGACGCACGTGTTTGGAAAGAGACGAATTATCACGCCAACAGGAAGCGACAAGGATCCAATCATGACAGTCGCAAGCCACTGATACCAAGTTAAAGGAGTAGTGCCAAACGCAACACCGCCAAATTCTACAATTAAGAATTGCCCAGTAATCACGACGAATTGGACAATTAAGAATACGTGGTTATTGAAAATATTTTTGAATACGTTCAAATGATCGTCAATGATTCGACAGTTGATTTCATTGAATACTTGTAGGAACACAAAAGTGTTAAAGATTATAGTGCCGAGAAGAATTTTATCCTGTTTACTGTCGCCTAGATGGAAAATGGCTGGTCCCAAATGTAATAATGTCAGGTTGATAATAATCTGGAAAATGGCTTCGCAAATAATCATTTTCCACATGCGATAGCTGATCAAAGAAGCTGTCTTGAGGGTTGGGTATCGATTTAAAAGATCATCTGTCGGTGGTTCAGTAGCCAATGCGAGAGCAGCAAGTGTATCCATAATAAGATTAACCCATAGCAATTGTACAGCGGTGAGTACAGACTCATTATCATCACTCAATAAGGCACTAGTGAATGAAATAACGACGGCAGTGATATTAACGGTAAGTTGGAATTGCAAGAATTTACGCACGGAATCATTTACTGCTCGACCCCATTTCAAAGCATTTATGATGGAATTGAAGTTATCATCCATCAAAATAATCGACGAAGCTTCCTTGGCCACCTCAGTTCCAGTAATTCCCATACTAAACCCAACATCAGCTAACTTCAAAGCAGGACCATCGTTTGTACCGTCACCGGTGACTGCGACAATTTCATCAAGTTCCCTTAATCGTTTAACCACAATTGTTTTATCGGTTGGTGAAGAACGAGCGAGTACTTGAAGTCGTGGTACCATTTTTCTTTGTTCATCATTAGACAGTTTTCTGAACTCAGGTCCAGTAATCGCAACTCCTTTAGTCAAAATACCGGCCTCTTTTGCAATTGCTTTTGCTGTCACAAGATTATCGCCAGTAATCATTCTCACATAAACGCCTGCCTTTCTAAACGCTTTGACTGATTCGGTGACACCCGGACGTAAAGGATCCTGAATACCAACAATACCCAAACAAATGAGATTATCATTTGGCGGATTGTCATCGTCGAATTTTGAACATTCTGCACTTGATACATCACGATACCCAAGACAAATAGTACGCAAGGCACCTTCAGCAAAATTCTGTATTGTTTTTTCGAATTTTCCTTTCGTCTTTGAGTCTAGTTCTTTAACGTTGCCATCTCCGTCTATATATCGTGTACACGAACCCAATACTATTTCTGAAGCTCCTTTCACGTGAACTCGATATTCACCATCTTTACTGGGTGTTGCAAGTTTAATGACAGTTGTCATTGTCTTTTTCTTCGATGCGAAAGGATAAATTTTGGCAAATTGATACGAGTTTCGAATTTCTCGATACTCAATTCCAAGGGCTTTGCAGAATCCAAGTAATGCACATTCCGTTTTTGATCTATTTAAATGCATTAAAAAAAAATGAATAAGATGATATATTTCTAATCGTATTCCTCATTTTAAGGAAGATAAAACCAAAAACAAACCCAATAAAATCTATTTTATTATTTTCATCTTTTCCTTCAAATGCCGTAGAATTGGTAACAATCGCTTCAACAATTGTGTCGAATGTTTGCTGATTTACATCTTTTCTCCAATCTTCGATCTCACTCACACTGTTAAATTCATGTCCGGTGAGGAATCCTCTAACAATCGTCATCTTATTTTGAGTCAATGTGCCAGTTTTATCTGAACACACTGCAGTTGCGTTGCCCATTGTTTCGCTGTTTTTGGTTTTAACTTTTTTAATTATTGACGTTCAATCATATTATGTTTGATATGTAACAAGATTAAAAACAGTCCACACATACCAAGCAGATAAAACTCGTACCAGGTTATTATCTTTTAACATTTGTGTAGTGGCGTATGCGAGAGCAAGCGTAACAGCCATAGGCAACTATAATTGCAAATATACCATAGTTATTCATATGTTATCCTTTTAAAAAATGTATTACTCAATATTTCACTTACACCTTCCGGGACAGCAACCACTACAATAGTAATAGCCTGAATGATGATTTGAATAAGTGCAGCAGCAATCTCTTCAGCATCCGGGAAATCATCATGGGATATAGCGGCCGTTATAAAATACTTTAGGCCCAGTGTACTAAAAAGAAGTCATCATCATTATTATTATTATTGATCTTATCCTCCTCCTTTTTATCGAGAATTTTTTTTTACGTGGAACATGGCACAATTCAATTTCATCTATTTGTCACACAAACTTAGAAAATCACTCACATCAACATAAGCAATGCGGCAGACATGCCCAATTTGGCGATATGTTCGGCGAGAATGTCCAATTTCATTTGTAGAGGAGTTTCAGTATTTTCGTCACCACGGAGAGCCTAATTAAAAATTAATGAAAATACTTAAATCTCTTATAAACTTCTTTTGATTTCCGACATCAAATATATTTTACCATCATAGTCTTTCCAAAATAGGAATAAGGACCTGTCGTTTGAAATGTGGATAAAATCAGTAATATGCTCTCGTAAACGGTACAAGTAAAATAAAGAAATTTATTATGATTACCAACTGCAATGACGACCACTCTTCCAACGCCTTCCAACACTTTAGATCCACTAAGAATAAATGGATCACCATCAGATTCTAGATCATTTTTTTTCAACGCGTCAGATTCACCGGTGGCACTTGATTCGTCGCATGTCAAGTTGTGGCCGCTCAAATATATTCCGTCGACAGGTACTATGTCGCCTGGTTCGAGAAGCTGTAATATAATTTATCATTTTAGTATTTATTAAACGAAAAACATGATAGTAACATCAGTAGTGCACAAAAAGTCAAGAGAAAAAGATGTTTACCAAGATATCACCAACATTTATCTCATGAACAGAAATCTGTTGTTCTCTTCCATCACGAACAAGCTATAAACACATAGATAGAGATTTAATAAAACAAGCAAAATGACAGGATGCTATTTTCTCGATCCAATTGGATCAAATTTAACTTTATTATTACTTTGACACTACGATCTTCTTTTTTGGCATTAAGTTTTTTGAATTGTTTTTCCTTCTGATAATCATTAATTGCATTTGTCAGAACAACAGCAGCAACGGCGACAAGAATAGCCGTACCTAAATAGCAAGAGTGTAAATGATATGACATCTCATTCAAAAATCGAATTGATCAATAAGAAACATCGAATATACCCTCGATCCAACCGACACGTGGTTCATCTTCTGGATGTCGCAGAGAGTAATCTTCACTTATACCAACACCCAATGAGAATAACGCAGCGATACTAAGCATAACTTTAAAGAGAATGAAATCAAAGGAGACATTGAGAACGAATTTATGAATTGATTGACACCCATCATGTATGAATGATTTATTGATTGATGTTGTTCAGAGAACAAGATCGATAAAAACACATTTTTGGTGAAATGGATGTCAACTTACTCAAGGTTTTATCCTGATATGCTTCCCATATTAAAGAAAATAACGATTTTGACGCGACATCGGGCAATACCTATTATAGAAATGATTTACATTGCGATGAGGTGGTACTTCTCAAAATTTTTTATAATCCTCATATACAACATCATGTGATTTTTCAACTCTTTCTCGTTCCCATGTTAAAAAGTATCGGATTGATGTCGCCTATTTTCATCTCAATTATAAACAAAAATAGCCTACGTTCTTTCCAAAGTACTTTCTTCGCTCGCGAAACGGTACTCCTTTCTTATTATTTTCACCCAATCCTTCGTCAGAGCTCAACCCATCTGTCGAATTCACGCGTAATCCCTTTAAAATCTGATCTGTACCGCCGTATTTGCGCAAGCCATCTGGGTCTTTTGGGTCAACTAGGCTGGCTAGTTCCTCTTTAGTGAACTGGAAAGGGGACCCAGAGTCACCTTCACGTAAGAGAGGTTCGATTTCAGAAGTTGACATCTTTGCTCGCTAATTACCGTTACTTATGACTGTACATTAGTGAGAATTTATCGCATCATATTTTAGTATTGTTTTATAATTTCCCAGGTTAATCATAATTTAGGTAATTCTACACACCAATACGCTGAAAAGAATCTTAACGAAGAAACTATACAAAATTACGGAAAAATTGTAGACATAGACCCTTAAAAAAGAATGTCTAAGGCTGCAGAAAAATATTTAAAAGTTTTGCTCCTTTTATAGAAAAAATAATGAGCACATGCCAAAAAAAAAAAAAAACGCCGAAGAAAATTCTTTCTTATCGTCAGGAAAATTCTTTAATTTACAAGATCTTATCACTATAAACGATCCATAATTGTTTGAATTCGATCAACCGCTGCACTGAATTTCCAAATTAACTTTCCAAATTGAATTTCCAAATTGAATTTTCTATAATGAATTTTCTAAGCACATCAATCTATTAACCAATCACACACATAATTTATTAAGGATTAACATTCACGTAAATTAATATCTTCGACTGTATTCCAACTGCCTCAATTTTCTATTATGGTTATTAATGGCATCGTAAATCTTATCAAATTCTAGGCAATCTTCAAACTCCAAAACGTCCTCACCCAATTTAAATTCACCTTGTTCCAACCTCACAAGTTCAACCATATGTGCTACACTATCCATCCCTTCGCCAATATCACGAATCAATGATCGTATATAGGTTCCGCTGCCACATTTGACGTTTATTTTGAATATCGGATATATCGTTTTTACACCATCCTCTTGCTTCTTTTCTTGAATTTCAGGGACTGCACGCTTTTTTGGCCGTACGTATTGCCGCCGGAACCCTTTTTTTACCGTAAGCTCCATATTATTACTATTGTTCCCATCAATTTCTGATGTTATTTCTGTTTCGTCTTCAAATTCCTCGTTGTAATTTGATGACGTCCCTGTGGGTTCCGAGTATTTATGTTCTCTAGTAAACGCCAAAAGTTTTATCGATTGAATAATCACTGGTCGCGGTTCTATTTCGCGCGGCAATTCTTCACCGGAACGAGCATAGTCATAAAGTCGCCTACCGTCCATATGAATCGCTGAAAATCTTATGTAATTTAACAAATACTATGAAATTTCAATTTGAATTTTAATTCAAAGAGCGAAAAAAAAATAATTCTTTCCCATACAATGGTGGTACTTGATTTATTGTACCAACAAATTTCGGTAGTAATGCTTCTAATTTTTCGCGAGAGATATGTTCAGTAGGAGTGCGTTGGATAATTTTCCCCTCCGAATCATTAGTGTTCGTAGAAATGCCAAACATTCCAACAGCTTCGTATACCTATATTTTTATACATGAGCCTTACAAGAGAACCACCAAAGCTATATAAAAAACATAAATCATCCAACCTTATCACAAAACGTGTACTTGTTTATTTCCTTGCAACCGTCATTTACACCCACCACCAACACACCTGAGGCCATAGGATCCAAAGTTCCCCCATGTCCCAGTTTCACTACCTTTCGTTTGGTCATTTCTATTCGTGTTGCTGCTGCATGAGCTCTGAATACTTTGTTTATCACTTCTAGGATTTCGACCGATGTTTTGCCGCGTGGTTTGTTGACTGCAAAGATTCCATGGAGTTTTACCTTTTTCGCCATTTATCGTTTTTTAACGCTATTGATGTTTCGTCAATAGTACATGTATAAAAATTTTTGGTCATTGTGAGTCATTTTTCAACATACAGCGAACTCTCCCTAAATGCAACCTTTCAAGCTTTTGGTTTGGTTCCAAATCAGAAGATCCTACTCTCCATAAATGCAATTTTTCTAAATGCAAGTTATAGATTTGTGGTCCCAACAGATTTTCATTTAGGTATATTTCAAGATCGTTTAAAAATGTAAAATACGATTTAAGTAGACAACTCACTCATTATCGTTATTGTATGCGATAATACCAATACTGGTAATAATATTATTACATAGTAGCATGTTTAATAATAATCATAATAATAATAATAATAGTTTCATATTTTATTCAAACAAAGTATTAAATATCGAATTAAGAGATAATCAAGTCCTCCATCTATATAATTCATCTGTGCGTTTTTTCGTAGTATTCAGAGCGTAAAGCAAAAATAGTGCCAAGATCATATCCAGCTCGAATGACTCGAAAACTTTTGTAAGCGTTCCCATTTGGTCGTTGTTTTTTGCCGACGCGACCATCATCATCGAGAACTTTGGTCTCAAGAGAAGTAATTTTAGTGATGGCTATTGGGGTTTCATTTGTGAGGTTATCTGTGGTAGGGGTGGAGGACGAGCTAGCGATGACAGGAGTTTCAATAATGGTAGTATTATTGGGTTTACTTCCGCGTTTTGCTGAGGTTTTTGATTGATGTGATTTATTTTGATTGACGGCATACATTGTACCATCGGGCTTAATTTCAGTTATCTATTATTTTATTTCATCAATAATTACAATAAAGTCTAGTAAAACATCAATAATTCTGCTGTTTAATTACCTTTACCACGCCTTCAACTATTGCACTAGCTTTATGAAACGCACGTCTATAATGCAATTCGTCACCAGCTCGTATAATGGCAGCTTGGCAGAGATCTCGGAGACTAAGAGAAGCGGAGTCTCCGGCTATCATCGGTGATTTTGACACAAGATTATGACCCCACTTCGCTTCAAATTTCAAGTCCTAATATTATAAAATCGCATATGGATATATTGATATCTTGTTGCACTATAAATAGGAAAGGAAAGGTAAGATAAATTACCTTCCAATCTTCATCCATAGTGTTTCTAAGACGCTTTTGATTCGCTTGATTTCTCTTGACCCATTTAGGATCAAAATGACTCCAACTCAATTTTTCTTTGAACGCTTTCACACATCCGTAAAATTGCATGTCGTTGAAAAAATATTGGCGGATCTTTTTTTTTGGACGCTTACCACCATTAGTTGTTGTGGATCCTGCACCACCAAGAGAAGCGACATCAACGGGATGATCCTCGATTGTGGAAGATGCTAAATTCGAACTTTCGATTGGCAAATTTGTACCATCAACTGTGACAATATCCGCATTTTCGGCTGTTAAATTGGATTTCACGATCTTTGAAGCATCGATATCAGCTGCACTTTCTGCCGGTAAATTATCGCTATAAACAGTTACGATATCCTGAGATGATGATGAAGCAGTAGCAGCAGATGATGAGGATGCGTTTGGAATTTCCGTTGTTCCATTTAGATTTTGATCCGAATACTTCATCAGATATTCAAATTCAAACTGTTCGTCAATTTCCATTGGTTCGTCTATCTCCATTTTTTCTTTGCTTTCCTCTGAATTATTTTTGATAATCGGCACTTTATCAACGGAAGGTACCAGACTGATCAATCGTGCTTTTTGTTCCTTGGTAAATTTTTTATACCTTTTCTCACAGAAAATCATTTTCATAAAAAACTAAATGTAGTGAAAAAGTCAAGAGAAATTAATCAATTGCACGTCTTTTCTTTATAAAATGTTGAATATTGATTAAGACTAAAAAGGTGTGTTTTTTAAAACCTTCATGTCAATTTCTGTAAGCTCAGAATTTGGATTTGTGGTTAAATATTCAAATTCGCGCGTTTTCTTCTTTTTTTGTTTGCTGTTTTTAGGATTAGATGATGATTTAGAATTAGACTTTAGAATTGATTTTCCTTTATCCTTCGCGATGGTTTTTCCTTTTTGATTACTGTTACTTTCGTCTGGCATAGCAGTAACCTCGTCGGTTTCCTTCGAGTCAGTATGTGGTTCTTTCGGGGGCGCAGAATTTATTGATTTTATGCCGCCGTTGTCTCTCTTGAGTTTTTTTGCTGCACTGCGAGTATTATGTGAATTAGTAATACTTATGTCATCATCTTTAGCTGGAATATCCCCATTTTGTTCGATGTTGATCTCGTCGCTATTTCTTGTTCTCTTCTTTCGGCTTCTACGACTTTTTCCATTGGGATTCTCAGTGTCTGCGTTATTATCTTCTTGTTGGTTGAATGTATCTGGAGAAAGAGGAGTATCCCAAATGATATTTGTTTTTTGTAAAGTATCCTCTTCTTGTGGAACCTTTTTAGCTCGGCTTCTACGTTCTTTTGATTTTGGAAGTACTTGAGAAGTGTTCTCACGATTCTTTCCCTTTCCTTTTGTCTTATTTTCTCCTGAATCATCAGTCTGATTTCGCGGTTGTATCTCTTGAGAGACATTAGTTTGTGAATCAATCTTTTCCCCTTCTTTTTGTAGCCCGTTGTTGACTGATTCGCTTGTATCTTCAACTTTACGTTTCTTATTTCGACCACCTCTTTGCCCCTTAGATTTATTAGTCGTCGCGACTTTGTCTTTGTTATCGTTTACGCCGACCACGTCCTCTTCGACGTCACCAGGCATCAACGGCGCGGACGAAGTAGTTTGAGGTGCCACCTCGTTGGTTACAACCTGGTCACTGATCGTCGTGTTAACTAACACCGGTGGTTCTTGCGCTTCTTCATTTTTTCTTTTTCTAGACGAGCGTAAGCTACGTGTAGAGTTTGATTCAGCATTATTGTTTGTAGTTGTTGGCGCTTTTCTGCCACGCGGCATTTTATTTGGCTCTTGTTAAAAAATAATTGACAAAAACACCGGAGTCAACCCTTCTGAATTTGAAAGGTGTGAGAAAGCGTATGTAAGTACTCGCTGATTCAGGTGATTTCAATCTTTTGATGCTCCAATGGAATAGACAAGATAAAAAGATAACTAATTACGCTATTTGAATTTAACTAGTACACATATGGTGATTTCGCAATCCCTCTGTATGTAATTCAAGCGTCATGACATTATTTTAATAATACTGTATAAATAAAAAAAAATTAATACAAAAATTCACATGCGTAACGTAATGGATGACATATCCAAATCTTTTTCCATACAGTTTTTCCATACTGTTTGTATACCAAACTCAATTTTTCGTAACACATAACGTAAAAAAATGAGCGAAGTACTTCAAATTTAAGCTCGACAAATCGGATTTGTGATTTCTTGTGTCCCACATGAGCTATATTGACCAATGATATGACGTTTGCGGGAAAAATAGACAGCTGACCCGCTAACAGGAAAAATAAACGTTAACTTTTTCAAATATTTCAAATAGCATACCTATACGTAATAATACAATATAATTTTATCGTTATCGTTTTTATTAAAACGTTCATTATGTCAAAGAACAAAGATTTATAGGTTTACGAAAAGTTTTTGGCATTGATTACGGGAGCAAATGATCTTTATAAAATTTATGTTAAAAGATTTATCTTGAAGATTAGAAGGAATTATATAAAGTGCAGTTTAAATACGATTACCACATTCTCAATTAATTATCTAAAATGTTCTACTATCTATTACTATTATTAAAATAAAAAAACAATTTACATGTATACATGTATGCAGGGATCACACAAAATCCGGAAAAAAAGTTATACATGTACAATGATATAATAACCGATAAATTGGCAGATTATTATGGTCCGTTAATATTGACTTTATTATGAAATATGAATATTAAAATACAAAAAAAAACAAATTATTCTATTATCTTACCAATTGTATTTCAAATAAAGAACACGTTTTGGTATTAATATTTAGAATATATCGTTAAAATCCTATGAAAAATAACAGCCAAATCAGCCCGTGAAAAATGCACGGTTACTGTGTACGTTAGTATCACCAGTCCAAAAACGAAAAAGCAATTTTGGTACGCAACAATTCGGTCGAAGTTCGTCAGCATTTAATTGCTGCCAAATTCAGCAAAAATCAGATGAGTTACAGATGAAATGCATATTCCTTGTCTTATTATAATCCCTTTACGTTGATTCTTTGTTTTAAAGGACTTGGTGATGAGTTTGGTAATCGATACCATAATATCGTCATTAGAAACGTTACCGCTAAAATCGAATAAACATTAACTCGATATTCATACATATATTTTTATTAATCAAAATTCATTTCAGGTAGGAATAAGAGTATATATTAATATTATCAATGTTTGCAGTCATTTATTTTGGACAATTGGAATATAAAATTTTAGCTTCTATTTGTTGAGCATTGAGTGCATAAATGATTTTCGTTGAAATATTTCAGTGGCTTCAAGTAGATAATTGAGTAGAATTGATGATTTTCGTAATTGTTAACTCGAATAATTCAGACTGAATTCTCAATTGATTTCACACTTGAGATCTCAAGTCGCGATATAAAATTCAAACCAAACTTCTTTATCGCGCGGTAACACGTGACGGAAGCTTTCTTTTGGAACTCCTGGTAGTCGTGGAAATAACAAACCGAAAAATCTATAATTCCAAACATACTGATTGACATAGCCAGTAAATAAGTTGAACCCGGAAGGAATTGAACCTTCGCCTCAGAAGAGACTAGCCATACGGGAACTTCTGATGAAAAAAAAAAAGCGAGAAGAACCACCCGGGAGGAACCGAACCTCCACTCTAAAGAAGCCCATCCATACAAACTCCCCCAAGTATAGCTAGTACACTAAGGTGTTCGAATCAAACTCCCGAGTATCGTAAGGAAAATGAATTATAAACCATATGTTCTACTAAGGGTCGAGTTATCTTCAATTAAGAATGGTTCCAACTCAACCCATACGGCAGAACCTATAGAGGGTTAGACATTAACCTTCCGGTCTCATTTGAAGCCTGACAGTTGGGTCTCCTCCAGAGCCGTCCGTACAGGTGATCCCTGAGTCGTCAGCAATGATGAATTATAAACCATACGTTTCTACTAAGGATTGAGTTATCTTCAATTAAGAATGGTTCCAACTCAACCCATACGGCAGAACTATAGAGGGTTAAACATCAATCCAACGGGTCTCCTTCGAAGCCCGACAGTGGTTTCTCCCAAAAAGCAGAAGAACGGCCCACTACCTGCGCTATCACTGGCTGACGCTGTAAAAAAACAAGGGACAACCAGTAAGTAGGGCATTTCAAAGGCTCAAATCTATTGGCTTCGAATCTCTAGAAAGTTCGCTAAAGTTTTAAGTCGACAGCGAAGACTGGGTATGCGCACCAACATAAAATAACAAGCAAGAAGACTATAACTATGAAAAAGCGATAAAAAGCAAAAACGAAAGGGGAACTAGTACCCTAGCCACGGCGTAAAAAAGTTACTGACACGAAAACAAATCCGGCACAAAGAAAATGTATCCAAAAAATGTCTTATGAGGTGACAGTAACATTTTTACATCGTGTCTAGTGTACTAGAGAGAACCAAAAGAGTACGAATGTCTGTCTTTTATATAGTGAATCCATTTTTTTGATTCATAAATTTATAAACAAATAAACAATAAACGCCACGCCACAATAACGATAATAAACAAAATCAGCGCGTCATTTTCACATATTCATTTTTATTGTTTATCATCATTACGCGCGCCTAATTTAGATTTTATGCGCTTGTTTTATTATCCTTATGCGTTGATTTTATGCGCTTGTTTATTATCGTTATGCACTGATTTTTTAGACTTTTTTGCATCAACAAGAAACAAGATAAATCATTTCATTATGGTTTCCAGCCAAAATCACATATTAATGCTAGCCAATTAAATTCAAATAATTTCTATTTAATTAATGTGATTTCTATTAAATGGTTATCATCGCACTTTATAATAAAATTGGGTTTTTTAGTTTAGAGTTTCGGTTCAGTTCTTATGTTAGACATCTATGAGTATTGAAAATTGTTGAAAGCCTATTTTTGGAAAATAGCAACTACGATATTCATCATAATAAGTCTTTACATTTCATAAATCAAACCCGATTTATATTCTTAAAACGACAATAACAGATAACAAGACATACAACTTTAAATGCATCCTGAAATAATAATGACTTTATAAAGAAATTAAAGAAATTTGATCTCGAACACACAACTAACTCTTACGCGTCATTTTCATGAAACATAGTAACCCGGTTTAATACTGCAGTGACAAGATATGAAGTATTGTGCAGTGTGCACAGTTTATAAATTCATGAATGTAGTAAATATGTTTCTGTCAAGACTAGAAGTACTGTACTGTGAAACATGTATAACGGAAGGTAAGATTTTATAAATTTACGAATATATAATTTAAAATTACATGTATGTGGAACATTAATATATAAAGGTTGGTTTAACTTTGTCTTACCATAACGACATTTTGAGATAATCATATAGATACGAGTTCTTTTTCCAATGAAGTTAAGTTGCTTTTTGTTATACAGTGGCTCACAGAAGAAATGTAATACGAAAGTTTTACGAAAAAAATTCTAGCGGCTCTAATGTATTTGGTTCCTATACTCATTTTAAAGCTAATAATTTAGCTATTGATGTTGCATTCTAAAGAAATGGCGTGATTAACATGAATATTTTTAATTAATCAAGGAGGATTGAAGCAGATTGACTTAATAAAAAATGTGATGCCAAATTCGTTAGTTATTTGATCCCGAAGTATCAAATGAATGCTAATAAAAAAATTGTTGTATTATTTATTAGCATTCATCTAATACTTTAGGATCAAATAACTAAATGAATTTGGTATCAATTTAAATGAGATTGGTATATTGATAGTTCTCATTAGAAAGCACATTTTTTATTGGATCAATCTGCTTCAATTCTCTCTGATAATATATAATAAAATAAATAAATTATAATATGACATTCTGAATAAATAGCTGAAATTTCTAATTTATATATTTTTATAAAAAATCATATCTGTAGATTTTCAGATAAAAATTCAGTTTTTTTATTCAGGCAAAAAACAGAATTTTTCAGAAAAAAATCAGAATTTTCTGGCAAAAATCTGTTTTTAATATTAAACAAATCTAATAAATTTCAAGTTTTGTTAACTTATTTTGAAAGAAATCTGAAAATCTCTAAATATAGTTTTTATTAGAACTTTATTTCTAATAATTCTTATATATATATATATATTTTATAATAATAATTTTTTTTAATTTGAATATTTTTTTAATAATATTTAATAATTAATTATTATTATTAATATCAAAAATTATATAAAAAATATTCAAATTATAATTATTAAATTCAGATAAATAATATTTTAGAAATTATTTATTATAATTAATTTAAATATTTAAATTTAAGTTAACTTTTTATAATAATATAGTAATGACTAAAAGTACAAATTTATTAAAAAATAATTTTTATTTTATATTAAAATAAAATTTATTAATTATAATTTAATATATATTTTTTTAGATTTTTTTAAAAGAATTATTCTAAATATAAAATTAATACAAAAATTTTTACTAATTAAAAATGAAATTTAATTAATAAAAATTTTTATATTAATTTTATAATTAAAATAATTCTTTCAGAAAAAATCTAAAAAATATATATTAAATTATAACTAATAAACTTTATTTTAATATAAAAATAAAAATTATTTTTTAATAAAATTATAAATTTTAATATAGAGAGAAAATTTGAATTTTTATTATATTTTATTAATAAATTTAGCTTTTGATATTGTAACCAATCACTTATTTGTATGGCATAGTAGACATGACACAGTAATAGCTGATTACTACTAAATTGGGTAAATAAGTAATTCTTATTAATTGTGGCAGATTAAAATGAATTCAGATTAAAATAAATTCTGAATCTTTTTTTGTGCACATCATGTAATTTTATTTCATTATAATATATGATTTAACATTTATGCACTAGTATACAACTTATTATTAATCATATGTTACATGCAACTAATAATAATACAATAGCAAATTCAGTAAAAAAAAAGTGATTTTTTTTCTTACTCTTTCCCTTTCTTCATTTCCTATTTTCCTCTCTTTTCATCATTTGTTTGGATGTTTCATCCAGATGGATTCTTGGTTGATTTGTATAATTCTTTGGGTTAAATTATCTTTAATAGCTCTTCATTTGATTGATCACTTTTTTAGTTTCTTTACCCTTTCTCTTTCTTCATCCACCATTTCCTATTTGTTTAGATATTTCATCTGGATAGATTCTCAGTTAATTTGCATGCTTTAGATTAAATTATTCCTCATTTAATCAGTCATTTTCTTGATTGCTTTGTGAATTCTTGACTGGCTTTGAGTCTTTCCACCATCTTCTTTTTTTTAGTGTCAAAAAATATACAAGCCATCTTTTTTTTTTGATGTCAAAGAATATGCAAATTATCTTTTTTTTTTGATATCAAAGAATACGCAAGCTAATTTGTTATACTTCTTGTTATCAAGTCTTTCCACTATCTTATCACATTAGCTTGGTATATTTTTATCATTAGTTTTCATTGTCTTGCCCTTTTGATTGTTATTTTGCTATGCAATTTTTTGTATTATTTTTCTTATTATGATAGTTTCAAGCTATTTTTATTAGTTATATTGATTAGAGAGATGTTAATATCAAGTTATATAAATAAAAATGTATCCTTATACCATATCATGATACATTACACATAATTTTTTACATGTTAACAAACAAAAAAATCAATATACACCTTTTTCTCTCCTCTCGAAATGATGAAGTTGCCAAAAATCTCAGAAATACTTGAGAATTTTAATAATGTGATCAGCTACATCAAGTCTAGTACCTTTCTAACAAAGTTTAGCATCTCAACAAAGAGAATAAATTTCCAAAGGCAGTGTAAAAATTTTGCGTATAACTGCCAGAAATATTATCTTTTTTATATTTAATAGCTAAAAGATGCAAATTTCCAGTCTGTTATAAAAAGAGTTATTCCTGTCTATGACGTGGAATTGAGAGTAGTTCTTTTTGAAAGATTTCATGTTGAAGCTGTCCACTTTGATTATCACAAAATATATGCAATAATTTACAAGCAGCATATTGGCATTATACAAGGTGAAGTCAAACAATATGTGAGTAATTGTCTGACTTGC